TCTCCATAGCTCATTTTATAGAGAAATGTTTGTTCTGCAAACTCAGTTGTGAGAAAAATTTAATATGCCATACTCTTCATTCAATCTACGTTCAAAAAGAGCTGAAAATATCGGTTTTTATCCGGTGTATTCCTACTTCAGTGACCATCGGGGAACCGGCTTGAAAAAACTCGATGTTTTTTGTCTTTCTAACAGCTTGATAATTTCACAAAAGTGCAATCTATCTTCTCGTGTTTTCAGTTATGTAACCATAGACAGGCTAAATAACTGTAACAGTAACTTCATTCTTCTCTTACCGTTTGTCACTCACAATGAAGAAGTAGTTGTGGAGTCAACACGTTACGTGTCATTGTAAGCCAAGAGTATTAATGTTAAGACTGACTGACGTGTTGCAAGTGTGCTTGTGAGTCCGGTAGCTAAAGAAAAGACTTGTAAAGAGTTTAGAGCATGGGAATTTTCCTCTTCATACACACATTTTACTTAAAGATGGGATCTTAATGGTGCATTGATGAGCGTTTTCTAATGAAATTGAGGACCGCAGGATCTGTTTAAATGAAACTGTGAAAATGTATTCATTTGTCGACCCGTTTGAGTTACTGGAATAAATGTATATGAAATGTAAAACTTCACTTGATACAATTTTAATTTATTTTAGTTTTACAATCGCTTATCAGTTACTAAAGGCTCAAAACAGAATTCATTTCCGGAAGAATCAAAAGAAGATACCACGACCGGTTTCGACCTTTCTCTAGGGTCTCGTCAGGTGTTGTGACTAATTTGTCTTTCTTCACTGTGGACGAGCGTGATTAGTAAGAGGATGGGTGACCACTTCTAAAGATCAGGATCACATGCATCCTTCTGAGGTTAGTCACTATAAAATAGAGAATTGTAACGTAATGTCTTTCTCTAATGTGTCAAAACTACGATTAGTAAGAAGATGGGTGACCACATTCCAAGATCAAACCATAAGTATGGTGCTTTTCACATTTATCTCAACGTTTGTTGAGCGAAAGTTACTAGATACAGTTTAAGTTTAAAAGGATGAATCATTTCTGATAAAATGAAAAAAAAACACTAATGGAGAGAAGCAGAATATGTGCAGCGACCAGTGATATTGTACTCCGTTCTCGTCGTGTGAAAGTTATCGTTCTTTGTTCGATAAGAACAAGGAATAGTAACACCCTCACACTGCGTGCATGGAATTGTGTTGGTTGTTGTGCTGCACAGGTACACAGACGTTTATGCGTACGAATACAAACACCCTTAATATGCACACAAAATGACAGAGAGTGATCCAATGTAAAGCCCAGGTGTTTAAAAACTTTTACTTGTTTTAGTCCATTTTCATTTAGAAATAGGGCTATAGTTGAGTTTTTATCAAGTGGACAATTGAAAAAGACTGAAGACAATGTTTTTTTTCATTGATTTTTAAGTGCCACTGTTTAGAAAAAAAGAGAAAGACGATCACAGAAAACTTGTAATAATTGTTACAATATCGCACAAGCCACTAAGTCGTCGACATACATCGAGATATTTAAATTTAGAGAAGAGCAGAAAGAGGAGAGATTATGAGTAAAGAAATTAAAGAGAAAATGGGAGAGGACTACTTCCTTCAGGTGTCCTCTCAGTCGTTCGAAATTAGTCTCTTCCAATTCGTCCCAACTAAATTTGTATATATATTCTACTCTCAGTTCATCCCAAATATATCAACATCATCAAGCTGAAGAATCAGATATTCAGGCGTAAACAAAAAAGAATCTATAATGACATTGATAATAAACTAAAGCAATTACTTATTAGGCATAGTAGTGGGGTTTACTCTCACGAGGGAACCTCCCGAGGTGATAAATCGCTTTTTGATCGACATCTAGTGGGTTATAGGTTATCGACCATGCTGATTCCGAATATGGTTATGGGGCTTCCCCGTGGCCCTTCGAAGATCCAGTCTTCTGGAAAACCGGTTTTTCAGAAACCCACAAAAATAACCCAAACCTCTCTTAACAATGCAGAATTGTAGCGCGCAAATTTCTGAATAAAATGAAACATCCCCCAGCTCTACATCATCTTTCTTTGCAAATTTATAGAATTTAAAAGAAGAGCCCTAAATTAACTATTTCTGTGGCTTTGAGCTGACAATGGACAATTTAGGGCTTTTCCAACAAATCCATGTTTTTGCGTCAACAAATCGGCGTTTCTGTTTTGGTGAAAAAATCCAAGATTGTCGGCGGAAACTTGATGTTTTTTCGTGAAGGAATCGGAGTGTCTCCAGAAGAACTTCATCTTTTTTCCTGAAGAAATCAACGTTTGTCCGCGAGAACTCGAGGCCTTTCGTGCAGAAATCGGAGTTTCTCCAGAAGAACTTCATGTTTCTTCCTGAAGTAGAAAAATTTGTCGACGAGAACTTGATGTTGTAGTGAGAAGAAATCCGAGTTTCTCCAGAAGAACTTCATCTTTTTTCCTGAAGAAATCAACGTTTGTCCGCGAGAACTCGAGGCCTTTCGTGCAGAAATCGGAGTTTCTCCAGAAGAACTTCATGTTTCTTCCTGAAGTAGAAAAATTTGTCGACGAGAACTTGATGTTGTAGTGAGAAGGAATCCGAGTTTCTCCAGAAGAACTTCATCTTTTTTCCGGAATAACTCGGCGATTCTCTAGAACAAATTCATCTTTTTCCTGACCTAACCGGAGTTTGTCGACGAGAACTTGATGTTTTAGTGAGAAGAAATCGGAGTTTCTCCAGAAGAACTTCATCTTTTTTCCTGAAGAAATCGCCGTTTGTCCGCGAGAACTTGAGGCCTTTCGTGAAGAAATCGGAGTGTCTCCAAAATGGGGGTTTCTCCTGAATAACTTCATCTTTTTCTCAGAAAAATGGGAGTTTGTCCGCGAGAACTTGATGTTGTTGCGTCTAGAAATTGGAGTGTCCAGCGAAGAACTTCATCTTTTGCCGAAGAAATCGGAGTTTGCGACGAGAGCTTGATGGTTGTTGGTGCGGAAATAGGAGTTCTGCAGAAGAGCCCAAGTTATTTCCCGAAGAAATCGAAGCTTTTCCAGGAAAAATTCATCTTTTCTCCGGAGGAAATCGGAACTTTGCGTTTCGACTTTCTCCGGAGGAACTGGATGTTTTGTTCTAAAGACATCAAAGTCTGTCGACGAGAACTTGCGGTTTTTTCCGTCAGAAATCCGAATTTCTCCAGAAGAACTCAGTTTTTCTCCGGAAGAAATCGAAGTTTGACGACGAGAAGTTTATGGTTTTTGGTGCGGAAATTAAAGTTTATCCAGAGGAACTTCAGGTTCTTCAAGTTCATCTTACTTCCTGAAGTAAAAACATTTGTCGACGAGATCTTGATGTTTTAGTGAGAAGTAATCCGGGTTTATCCAGAAGAAATTCATGTTTTTTCCGGAATAACTCGGCGTTTCTCTAGAACAAATTCATCTTTTTCCTGACGTAATCGGAGTTTGTCGACGAGAAGTTGATGTTTTAGTGAGAAGAAATCGTACTTTTTCCAGAAGAACTTCATGTTTTTCCTGAAGAAATTGAAGTTTGTCCGCGAGAACTTGATGGTTCTTCGTAAAGAAATCGTTGTTGCTCCTGAATAACTTCATCTTTTTCCCAGGAAAAATGGGAGTTTGTCCGCGAGAACTTGATGTTGTTACGTCTAGAAATCGGAATGTCCAGCGAAGAGCTTCGTCTTTTTCCGAAAGAAATCGGAGTTCGCGACGAGAGCTTGATGGTTGTTGGTGCGGAAATAGGAGTTCTGCAGAAGAGCACAATTTATTTCCCGAAGAAATCGAAGTTTTTCCAGGAGAAATTCATCTTTCCTCCGGAGGAAATCGGAACTTTGTTGTCGGAAGGTTTCTCCACGAAAAACTTTGATTTCTTCGGGAAAAACATGAAGTTCTTCCGGAAAAAGTACGATTTCTTCTCACTAAAACGTCAACTTCTCGTCGACAAACTCCGATTACGTCAGGAAAAAGATGAATTTGTTCTAGAGAAACGCCGAGTTATTCCGGAAAAAACATGAATTTCTTCTGGAGAAACTCGGATTTCTTCGCACTAAAACATCAAGTTCTCGTCGACAAATTTTTTTACTTCAGGAAGAAAGATGAAGTTCTTCTGGATAAACCCGGATTACTTCTCACTAAAACATCAAGATCTCGTCGACAAATTTTTTTACTTCAGGAAGATGAACTTCTTCTGGAGACACTCCGATTCCTTCACGAAAAAAAATCAAGTTTCCGACTATGAAGAACCTATGAAGATCTCGTCGTCAAACTTCGATTTCTTCCGGAGAAGAACTGAGTTCTTCTGGAGAAATTCCGATTTCTGACGGAAAAAACCGCAAGTTCTCGTCGACAGACTTTGATGTCTTTAGGACAAAACATCCAGTTCCTCCGGAGAAAGTCGAAACGCAAAGTTCCGATTTCCTCCGGAGAAAAGATGAATTTCTCCTGGAAAAACTTCGATTTCTTCGGGAAATAAATTTGGCTCTTCTGCAGAACTCCTATTTCCGTACCAACAACCATCAGGTTCTCGTCGCAAACTCTGATTTCTTTGGGAAACATTAGCGAAACAATTATGGAACAAAATGGTCCATGACTAGCTACTTTGATTGCTAAATGCAAATGTGAGTGCATCGATAACAGCTCTATAGAAAAGCCGTAAAGTGCACCTACATTTGCATTATAGAGATCAATCAAGGGACTGACTTCTACGACTTCACCAAAGTCATGGTAAAAGTATAAAACACGAAGAAACACGAAATAAAGAGAAAAATGAGAGGCAATAACCTCGGGAAGATAAGTAATTTTACGAAAGGAAACATAACATACAAGAAAAAAGAACGATAGTCATGAGCTTTCCAATAGCTCCGTTCGGACAGTGAGCTCAATTCTACATCAGAATTGTGGGGCCATCTGATCTCCTGTAATAAATTTGTTCCATTTTGCCATGCATCATTATTCACCATCTTCTCCCATCGCTCTAACAGTGTTGATGCATGACCAATGAAACATAGGTGCATGACGTCTATATCGATTTGATACGGAATTAATAATACATGAGAGAGAGGACTGATGCCTTGTACTCCCAGCACATTCACTTTTCGTTCTTTGACAGCTAATTCGGCACAGATTTTGATAAGTTCAGGTGTTCGTAGGTTAGCCGGTTTTTGATTGTGTGGATACAGCATGATGTTGGCGTTCGGATCTCGTACACCTTGTTGATCGCACTCAACGCATGCATGATATCCGTTGTGCAAATTGTGTTTTAGTCCGAATGAACGTGCGGGACCATCGGCTTTGAATAACTGAACGTCAATCACATATTCATCGTTATCAATGATGATTGTTCTTCTCAATGTTGTTGTTATATCTAGCAATAAAGTGTCAATATCCGGTTTGACTGGTCCATTCCTAGAATTAGACGTAACAACACTGAAAAAACACAATCATGAATTGATTATGATTAGCAAAGTTATTAAAGCTTATGCACTTATTTAAAGCGGCATTGGATTAAAACATAGATTACACAGCTGTTAGCCTTCATGTATTAAGAAATCAAGATCTGCGAGATCCGAACGCCGACTTAATAAAAAGTGCCTCGTCTACGAACACCCGAATTCATCAAAACTTCTGCGGAATTAGTTTTCAAAGAATACAAACCGAATCTGCTGAGGGCGAAAATATCGGACTAAATTGACATGGACATAGTATACCTATGTTTCAATGCACATACGTCAATGATGGGAGAATAATAATGCGTGGATAAACGGAACAAATTTGATAAAGGAAGCAGATATAGCTACATCATTTACGTAGTATTGAATGAAAAAGGGCAAGATCACTCGGTTAGAGTCAATGAATGATTCGATGATGCGAACTAAACAGAAAGAAAAATATTCCCAAAGAACCGATTTTAACAACGTCTTTTTTGCTGAAACAATACTTATCTGACTGAAATTCATTTCGGGTCAAGCAGGGGTATAATGTACACCATAATGAAAAAATAACAAATAATAAACAAGAAAACAACTTACAACCTAAATAAAAAAGAAATTACACAGAAGTATCTGATGTTCAGCCTTCGAGCAACACTGGAGAGTAAAGCGGTGAGCTCCCCCATTCTCAATGACGTCTTTCATGGGTATCACCATAAATTGTTTAAGGAAGGTTATTTCTACTTTCAACTTGTTAGATTCACAATACCTCGATGTTGAAGAGCAATGGGATAGATGAATGAATAGAACTTTTTTCTTTTCTGGTCTGATTCAGTAACAAAGCTTGTTAGAGTGATTAATAAGGAGAGAGCTTGAACTTGACACATATTATTTAGAAAGAAGGAATGTAAAAAGAGTAAAAAGATTTCTATACATACTACATTGTAAAAATCATTTTAACGCACACATACATAAACTATTATCATATTCCTCTAACAAATGGATCGATATAGCGTGGTGGTCAGTATCGAAAATCCTCAAGGTGACATACAATCATCAGTAATCGTCAAAATAGGACCGGAAAACAGTTGTCAGCAAGTAGTAGACAAAATTTGGGATTTGGTTGAAGGACAGTCACATGGCGAATGCGGGACGAACCCATGATCATCTCCGATGGTTTGTGAAATAATGACCTGACTTATCACCTTTTGTCAAACTTTTCTTATAAAATAATTTTTTCTTATACTATACACTCGTAGTTTTGCTTAAAGTACAAACACTATGGATAGATTGCTGAATATTTCATGAGGAAAGTTCGTCAACAGAATAGAATAAGAGGGAAAGGAGTGAACTGATTACTTACCAGAGTGCCAATAATATTATATTTGTTTGATTTTCTCTGAGTGGCGGCGGAATCTCACACACTGCAGCCATCACGGGCCATGTTTGTTTTTTTGCCCAACGAACGAGTGGTGCACCATCGATGTGAATCATAAGAGACACCGGGTATCGTCCAGGGATCAAACAGTTATTGTCAACTAATTTTTGTTGATATATCGCTCTTGTTAGAATATCGTTTGGTAATAGTTGAGCGACTTTTCTCGGGTAGGTTTTGATTAAATCTTTGTTACGCCTTATCGTACGAATCAATTCAGTATCATCTGAGCAAGTGACGTGTTCAATTATGTTATTCGATTCTCGTTTGTACTGGTTTTGTCGGCACCCTGTTGTACACTTGGTGTTCTCATCAATAGTGGCAAAACAAATCGAGTAACGAACGGTTTCCTTAAACGCCGACTTTTCACGAAATAGGTCTACTAGTTTTGTGCTCGTTGTCATTGATTGATGAGGAACAGGTAGTGCTAGTTCTATCAGTTTCAACAGTTTTGTCACATTCGCTTCTTCTAAACGCACATTGTTGCAGAATTCAAGGATATTTTTGTGGTATTGTCGAACGTTAACGGCAGCTCCCGGAAATAATGGGGTATCGAGATCATCAACCGCATCCCGTTCACCTAAAATGAGGAAGTAGGAAACAGCTTGCATAGACATCTTATGATAATAAGAGAAACAGATAGAGGAAAATATCTTTTACCTATCAATTCGTTATGTAATTGTGTCCAAATATCATTATTCACACCAAATTCCTTATCGGATTGCTGGCTAGAATCGGATCGGGTATCCTATAAATAAGCCAAAAAGGACAGAAATTAAAAAGAGTGAAACTTCTAAGTCAGCGTGTACATACATCATTTCCAGTGGCTGTATCAGAAGGCCTTTCATCAGTCAGGGTAATATTTTGAACGGTAATATGTTTTTGCTTTTGACGCCCACTTCGACAACTAACCGTATGGAGACTAGGCTCTTAAATACGAGAGAAAATGTTAGAAGGTCGAGCTGACGGAGAACTAAGCAACCTTTTTACCTAGTTCATCTCTCACACTTTGTGCAAGATCTGCGAATAGACCGTCTTCATCCATCACTAAAAATTCCGTTAATAAAACAAGGAACAGTTTTTTGTACTAATAGCACCTAAAACTTTTTTAACAACATTTGAGAGTTGGCAATAATGTTCGCGGCATAGAAGCGATCTATCCATCGGTCAGTTTAGAGTTGCCGGACATTGCCTCTAGAATGTTCATTTTTAGAAATAATGAATTTGGCGCGTAAATTTGACCATTGAATTCAGGCAAGATTCTTATAGAGAAAATACGATAAGAAATAGGAAAGAACATCAATCAAGATTCTTGTCTGTTTCTCCAAGATTCGAAACGCCTATAAAATAAAAATCACAAGATTCTTGTCTGAAATGGCAAGAGACAAGAATCTTGCAAGAATACCCACAAGAACGTCGACCAGTGTAAGATGGAAAAGAGAAATTTTCTGTATATTTATATATGCCAAATAGAAACATAATAAGCTGCAGTGCACACTACCGCCATCTGTAGTATGGTTTTGAAAATATCGTTTTCAGCCAAAATATAACTCGATTTTTATTCTAAAACATATTTTTAACTTTAAAAGCTTTTTTTAAAGCCATTTTGACGTAGAGACTCAAGTTACAAAATGTTCAATGGTGAAAAAGTGATTTTAGAACGAAGTGATTCCAGCTTCCCCATGACCCAATTAAGTTGCCCATAAATAATGATCCACAGAATACCTCTAACAATAATTGGGTAATGTACTGAGCGAATGGTTTAGGGTTTTGAAAGATGTCGCGTATATATGGCGTCAAGTTTAGATGCTGAGACATTTATTAAAAGCAGTGTAAAATACCAGTACTTGATTCCATCTTTGAATGTTTTACTTCTAACATCTGCGTCTACGGATATCTTAGAGATAATTAATATATTGATATATAAAATGAAGACGAGACTTAAGCCCTAGTACTATTTTACAAGAGAACGATCACAAATTACTGCCCATGGATGTGACTGTGCGCGAAACAATGAATAGTCAGACAGCAATTACATTTCGAAGTGTTTAATAGTAGGTGGTGGTTTTTTTACGGACCAGAGGGACCAGTCTGAATCGTCAATTTAATGGATCCACCAATAAAATTGGTCCTTTTGGTCTGTCTGGTCCGTAAAAACACCACCTAATAGTACACGTAAAATAGTACTAGGGCTTAAGCCTCGTCTTCATTTTATATATCAATATATTAATTATCTCTAAGAAATCCGTAGACGCAGATGTTACGAACGAAAACAAAAAGTATATTTTCTCATATCATTGTTACATTGTCGCACATAGGACACTAAGAGAAGGCTACTATTCTTTGTATTTTAATTTTATTCGAGAAGACTGTCACTACACATCCCATCTTAAGAGGCAATTCGCCACCCTATCGAAAACCACGTTTACATGAAAATAAAATTTTTTCGTAAAAGAAAATTGGACCGTATATTTTAAAAGTTTTAAAAGTTTCAGCTGTCTGAAACTTTAACCGTTAAAAGGTTTTTCCAGAATGTTAAAACACACATATTCCTACTTAGCTCGAGGAACCCTATCTAATCATGCATAAACACAGATACAAAAGTAAAAACCGCTGAATTTTGAATTTCCAGCACATTACACATATCCAGTTATTAAAGACTATAAGTTAATGCAGTGAGTTAATCTTCATCAAATTTGTTAAACCCTTCAAAAATACGATCCAATTTTCTTTTAGGAAAAAATTTTATTTTCATGTAAACATGGTTTTCGATGGGGTGGTGGATTGCCTCTTAAGATGGGATGTGTAATGACAGTCTTCTCGAATAAAATTTCCGACAGTAAACAAACCGTTAACTTGCCGTTTTTTGTGTGACCGTTTCACGGTCCAAAGATCGTCTGAAAACGTCCATGGTGAGAAAACGATCAGTTAACGGTCACCGTTTACTGACCGTTTGCTGAAGGTTTCCAGACTATTTATTATTCATACAGAAGGTCGCCGTTAACGGGCAGTTAACGGATCGTTTTAACGCCGTTTTTCACATACATGATTAGAGATGGTTTTGACCGTAAATAGGCCGTTAATGGCCGGTTAACGGACCGTTTTTTAGGCCGTTTTTTAGAACTTTATGCTAGATTAATTTTAGAATGATTTTTGAATGTTTCATGACACATAGAGTACTTGGAGGTAATTAGAGACACTCTTGGAAATTTTTGTTCGTTTTTTGCTATTTCTTGGCCGTTTTTGATCTGAAAAACTGGCGATCATATTGGTTTCACACTACATGGGATATTAATTTAAATATATTTTATGGACTAAATTAAACTTAGAATTAATTATGATAACTAGAGACTGATAGTTTTTCTAAAATCTTCTGTTTATGGCTTACATAAGCATGTGCTCTATCGAATGCAAAAAGAATCATCTGAAAATTGTGTAAACTACGCAAGATACCAAATTATCAGACATATGTCCCATTTCAGGGACTCATATATAAGACGATATACTGTAATCTTGAATTAATTTCTAGTTTATGGAAAATCAACTGGAAAATCGCTGAAGAATTTCTAGTTTATAGAAATTCCTCGTCGATTCTTCCACTTTATAGAAATCGTTGAATTTCTACTTACTAGAAAATCGCCTTGAATTTCCATAAATACGAATTTCTATAAACTGGAAAATCGATAAGGAATTTCTATAAACTGGAAATTTCTCCTCGAATTTCTGCTTTATAGAAAATAAAATGAATTTCCATATTCTTGGGAATCATTTATAGAAATTCAATCGACTTTCTAGAAACTGGAAATTCGCCCAGGAATTTCTAGGTCAACTACTTGTTCACCTCTTTGTTTTGAAATCAGTGTAGGTATAAGAGTGTCACATAAAGACACTCATATCACACTTAAATCAACTTTGACAGTTTCCACTTTAAATCACAATTCTGCCTATGCCAGCAAGAATTTGGATTTAGGTAGAGACAGTGGCGGCGCGAAGGGGTAGTTCCAAAATCGGAGAAGTCCACAAGAAATTTCTCAAAAGCATGAGGGGTCGAGATCAACCCCAATACAACCTGGTCGCGCTGCCGCTCGGTGCAGACTCGCCAGGCACTTTCCAATTTATAGCAAATCAAAAAGGAATTTCTAAATTCTTGGGAATTATTTATAGAAATTCAACAGCGAACTTCCAAGAAGCTGGAAATTCGAGGAGGAATTTCTAGAAACTGGAAATTTCGACTTTCTATAAACTAGAAAATGCTCGAGGAATTTATATATGGATTCTTTGTTGTTAGAAGTAAAACATTCAAAGATGGAATCAAGTACTGGTAAATTTCCTTGTCTATCGAATGAGACTATTTACGATATGTGTTATGTTTGACGAAATCTTGAAAAAAACTCAAAATCTTGTTATTAAACTCAAAATCTTGTTAATTATCGATCATTGTGAAAATGCTTTAAAGTATCTTTTTTGCAAGTTACTTATAAACATAAGGACAGTACTAATTCATAAATATTTCTGCTCAGGTCTTTTCCGTTACCGAGATAGGAGGCATTTTCGGTAAAATAACTACTTCTTCTGCCGGCTACTTATAATCATACCTTTATGAATAAAATAAGCATAAGTAGCTCGAGTACAGTATAGAGACATGTTGCTAGGTGCGAGCTTAG